TTAGTCATAAAGATAAGACCATGTGTGAAAAAAAAAAAACAAATTGCTGGACAAACATTTTAGAACTAGTCAGTGTGCTCATAGCTTCAGGGGTATAGACATCTACGTAGCTCGTTTCCAGTATGAAATTTCAGATTTTAAAATGGCTATGGGTAAAATTTTAACAAAATTCAAACAGAGCGGGATTGTTGAGATTCAAAGACGTGGTCTTTCGAAATGAGCCATTGCAAATGAAATTGGCCGCAGCAGAACTGTCATTGCTAACTTCATTAAAAATCCGGATGCATATGCTTCTAAAAAATCAAGCGGTCGCTCCAATAAAATCTCACCATTTCGAGACAGACGCATTAGGCGAGAAGTTAAGAGAGATTCAAGCCTAACATCAAATCAGGTAAAAGCGAATACAGATGCTGAATGCAACTCTCAGACAATTTGACAAGGAGTGTATTAGTTTAGAACATCTGTTAATAAATCTAATAATAACATTAGATAATCATCAATCCTGATGAAGCAATGGAGGAAGGACTGGTTAGTAACATTCAATACCTCCAACTCCAAACTAGTAATGTTCGACCATCACCGAGCAGACCTTGATGGATGGGTGTGCTCTCAAGGAGGTTTCTTGCCTTGAACACCTATTGGAACTGAATCTCACGCCAGACTTTAAGTGGAATCCATGTATAGGATTCATCGCTCAAGACGCAGGAAAAATGGCAAATTTATTGTACCACTCCAATAAGTATCTGACTCCCACCGATATCTTTCATCAACATCATTCGATCGTAGTCAGGATCATCGAGCCAATGCGAACGATCCTTTCTTTAGCTGTATAGTATGTGCTACGCCAGGGCTACATACGGCTTTGAATTACTTTCACATAGACCGGTTGCCACCTAAGGCTATAGGACCCAGTCTATCCTGCTATTTACCCATAGGTTGGGGTGGAGAAGAAAAGGATTCATACCTTTCCCAAGGGCATTATAATGAAATGGATCCGACTAGAATTCGAACTCTGCTCTCCGATTCTTCAATCCGAGCCGCTATCCATTATTCCACCGTGCCTCCATCTTTGCAAGAGACAGATCATACCAAAAAGGAGTATTGCTGCCATATCTGGAGCTGCTTACTTGTCTGTCTTCATAGAGTTCAAAAGCCTGCATAGTGAATTATTTTCACCCCTACAACCCCTTTCCCACAGACGAAACGTCGCAAGCCTTTCATTATTTCTATGGTAAAAGTCCTGACGAGTTACATACCTTAGTTCCACCAGCCCCCTTACTTTTGTAACTAAGATTCGCTATGCCACGTCACGATGGCGAACAATTCTCATTCCTTCGTATTCCATTAGTAAGAAATAAGTTCCATTCGGATAACCTCTTCCCTAGAAATGCCACTTTGGGGCACAATCTCCTGAGAGGATGTTTTCCCGATTAGTACAGCCAAGTTAACCGTTATCTGTCCTATATAACCCCGTGAACTACGCTTCTGACCTCCTCGTCTTACGCTCATACGACATCATTCAATAAACCTCTACTCTTGAGTTTTGTATTTCGTGAACATTAGTAAAAAAGAAAAAAAAAAAAAGAAAAAAAAAGTACACACACAAAGACTCAGTGAGTTTAAGAATAAGATTTTAATCAATTCTAAAATACGAAAAATAATTAATTAAAATTTAGTTTCATTTGCTTTTTTTCGATTTAAAAATAATTTAACAAAATATTATTCTGTCTATATTTATGAGTTGAGGTATTGTAATTATTTACACTATTTACACTGTTCGGATTGTTGTTCTCATCTTCGTTGCTATATTCACAACGTTTCGGGCGTTGTACACTTCAGCCTTCTTCAGGTGATTAGAAGTTTGAACTCAACCATTTATTTCATAAAATAAAAGGTTCAGTTCGAAATTCCAATCAGCTGAAGAAGGCCAGAAAGGAATCAGTTCGACATTCCAACCACCTGAAAAAGGCTGGAGCGTACAACGGCCGAAACGTTGTGAATATGACAACGAAGATGAGGACAACAGTCCGAACGATACAAATAGTGTAAATTATTAATATTTATTGATGAATAAATTTCATAAATAAGTGGAGAGGTTTCGAACGATGACACTTTCCCTGGATTAACTATTACAGTCCATTCAATTTATTATTGGGGTCGTAAAATATATACGAGTTTTTTTTTTCTAGAGCTGATGGAGTTTACCACTCTTCCACTTGTCACAGTAGCGAATTTGGCAACATTTGAAAATCCGACGCTACTAATCTTTGAATTGACTTTATTCTCATTAGTATACCAAACTTGCCCTTTTTTTGCTTTTACGCAACCATGAGCAAGACACCCGCAACCCATTAAGGTCATATAGACACTATATGTACTACGCTTAGAAAATAATTTTGGGCACTTTGACGTGGTATAATGTTTAGCAATCTTGTCTCTCACTAGATCGATTACGACTGAGTAATGAGTTCGATCCTCAGTGGATATCCCATACTTTCGACCTTGTGTCACATCTAAGCATAGAAAATCATTTTGGGAACTTCGATGTAGTGTTATGGCTAACAAGCTTGTCTCTCTAGATCAATTATGACTGAGTAGTGAGTTCCATCCTCACTGGTTTCCCATACTTTTGGCCTTGTGCCACGTCTACGCTACGCCTAGAAAATCATTTTGGGAACTTCGACGTGGTGTAATAGTTAACAAACCTGTCTCTCTAAATCAGTTACGACTGGGTAGTGAGTTCGATTCTCACTTAGTTTTCCATAGTTATGGCCTTGTGCCACATCTCAACTTAGTAAGTCACTATCCTGATAGAGATTTTGTCTTTTATGGCTGATTTTGAATTCCGAGTAGTGAATTGTGAGACATTTCAATTGACTTTTTTTCTCTCCTCAGTAGTGCAAGTTAACGCAAATTACATTTACGAAATTAAGCTCATGACTAAATACGTTCAAATGAAAGCAAAAGCTAGGATTTCGAATGCAGATTTTATCAGTTTCTCCACGATCTTCCTATCTTAATTTCTCTGGCTTTGTGTTGTACTAAGCTAACACTTGTATGGCATTAGAGAGACATCATACTTATTATAAAACCCAGGTTGTGTGTGTGTGTGTGTGTGTGTGTGTGTGTGTGTACGTTTATATATTGGATCGGATTTCCTACATTTTTCAACCGATTTCAACCAGACTTCACAGGACTACGTAAAATTACCTTGCGGTTGTTCTGACAGCGCCCAAAATTGGAAAAACACAATTGTTTTTGCACGAAATCAATTTGAAAACACGATTAAGAGGCATCGCGAGAATGAAAGAGGGACAACTCATATCGAGTTATACTTATTATAAAACCCAGGTTGTTTGTGTGTGTGTGTGTGTTCGTTTATATATGGGATCGGATTTCCTACATTTTTCAACCGATTTCAACAAAACTTCACTTTTTTTTTTTTGTCAGGTAGTGTTTCTTATTGTCGTGCACATTTTTTTCTTTATTTTTATATTCAGAATACTTTAAAAATTTCATTTATAAGACAATTGTTTATAATAAAATTCTGTCCAATCGGTAGACTCATAACGATTGAAAACAATGTTTTTGTTTGAGTTTTGATTTGACCAATTCGTAAAAAAAAACAAAAAAAGCAAAAAAACAAAAAACAAAACAAAAACTAATTAAGACATGCGTGTCCGTCAACCTTAAACAATAATCTTTGTCAATTTTATTTTTCAGTCTTTATGATGGTCGATACTTGATCTATCTCTTACTGTTACATCCCCGGGCAACGCCGGGTTCTACTGCTAGCTATCAATAATGCCCGTTGCAAAGATAAACTGAACAGTGATCTTTTGGCATTTTTTGTTCTCTTCACATAGTCATTTTTTTTTTAAAGCGAAAAACTAATTCTTTGAAGTCATTTAATGACCTGCATTTTTAAAATGAATATATTTTCTAATAAATGTAGTATTTTAATTTTTTTCTTTAGATTAAAAAGTTGATCATTTTGCCTAACTAGTAAGCATTAATTTATACATTCTTGAATAATAGGCCTAAGGGTTAGAATTGGTAAGTCGCTAGTGAAAGGAGAATAAAGACCGAAGGATTCTTGTATCTGGACTTAATAAGACAAGCCAGCTGTTGTAACACAATAAATCCTTGTCTTAACACAGCTGGCTTCTTGTCCGCACTAGCCTCGTTCGGAAATACTTAAACGGTCCATAAACAGCGTAAATCGTAAATAAAAGACCCATTATTCTTGAATTTAGATTTTTGATGCGAGTTAGGGAATGCACACATATATATGCGTATTAGTAGGATACAGAACCCTGGAATTTTTTTTCGTTCAGTTCAGAATAAGTTATATACTTGTCGGCAATGTTTAACCTTCGTGCCCCGTAAAAAAACACGGTGGGTCAAAAAGGAGGGTTATTCCCTTGACACTACTATTACTGTATTTACTTTTCACACCCTCTATCGGTCTACGAAGTTAAGCAACATCGAGGCTAGTTAGTATTTAAATTGGTTACCACTTGGGCATATCAAGTAATGCAAGCTTAGATGTGCAGGTGGGGTAATAGATAGCGCCTCGGAATGGGAAATCGGAGGGTCGAGTTCGAATGACAGTCGGGTTCGTTATATTCGCTGACGCGCAAATACCGTTGGGAGAGGTACGAATCCACCTTTTCTCTCCCCACATATAGGTCAATTAGTAGGACTTGTATCTGAAAATCATTATTATTTATTTAAAAATTATTATTAATTAAATATTTACTGACAAAAAAAATTATTCTATATATCCAAAATATGTTTCAGCTTTAAATAACCTACAAGAGGTTGATAAGCCGTAAAAAGCATACGAATCAATTAAACCCAATGAATGTATATATTCTTTCAGGCATTAGGAAACTAACGGATTTAACAATAATTCGGGTATAAAGATTAAGGATAATCTATGAATGTTATTTGCCTTTGAATTTTTAAGTATTTCAAGAAGCCCCGAGCTAAATAATATGTTCGATACTTTTGGCACACACCGGGGAGGTATTAAAAAATTAAGCCCAAGCATCATGCAGTACCTCTCCTTCAGGAGGGGGCTAGGTTTATTGCCCGGCGCCTGAGGCGTAACCACAAGGGGGTTTGGACAATTTTTTACACGGTATTGCCGTTAAACCAAATTTTAACCTCGGCCTTGTGTCATAAGCGACATGGGCACGCTGAAAAATTTGTACTATCTTCAATCTGTTTACTTATATTTAACCACTTTAACTCTCGCACAAACAGCAAACGTTATAATGCCGAGTTTTAAAGTGTTTGAAAGTAAATACTGCTAACACGTTTCCCTTATTATTAAGAGTTAGTTTCTTGTTTTAATAATAAGACATAAGAAACCAGCTTTTATTCATATCAATTACAGTGTACGGAATTAAAGCATTTCTGTTGCTAAAAAAATTACCATCACAATCTATAAACAAAAAAATCTTTGATAGTCGCTAATAGATTAGCGTTTGGACCCAACGATCACTTAGATAATTCTTTAGGGTTCTTCGAAGTGGTATAATGCATTAGCAGTCTTGTCTCTCAATTACCACTGAGTAGCGAGTTCGATCTGCTTTTGGTGCCCCACCCTTTCAGCCTTGTGCCGCATCTAAGCTACACTTGGCGTAATGCTTGTCCCGCTAAATCAATTACGAGGAAATAGTGAGTTCCAGCCTCACCGAGTCCCATATTTTCGGCCTTTTGCTACGTTTAGCAAGTCACCATTTGGACACTTCTTACACCACCTCTGTCCAAAAAGGAATCTCTTTTACGCATGCAAAAAAACAAAAAAAACAAAAAACATAATAACAATGCTTAATCGCGGTGCCTTATCAGTCATCTTCAATGACACTTGTATATATATATTCGTATATATATATTCAGATATATGTGAAAAGTGTATATAAATATAAATAAATATATATATGTATAATTATTTATATATTATATATGGTATTAATACAAAGCGATCGTCAGACAAACTGATTAATCAGTTTTTTCTTCCGATCGATGAAACCCAGGGTCACAAACTCACATCTATCAACCAAATATATATATATATATATATATATATATATATATATATATATATATATATATATATATATTGTTGAATAATATAAATATATTGAGTCTATTTATTTTTATATGATCCTTTTCAGTTGTCTAATTAGTTTCTTGATGTTGAGATGAAATTCATCAATGCATATATTATTCAACAGAACATATCTGCATGAAAATATGCTGCACACGCACACACACACACACATATATATATATGCTGCACACACACACACACACACACACACACACACACACACATATATATATATATATATATATATATATGCTGCACACGCACACACACACATATGTATATATATATAGGCAGCATATCTTCATTCAAACATGTTTGATTGAATAATCTGGACATATGTCTATTTTTACTTTAATCCTTTCAAATTCACGGATCAATTTCTTTATGTTGCCATTAACAAGTAAAATAAATTAAGCAACACAAAAAAACATACGAACGGAGTTATATCAATAAAAATATTTGTAGTAGCAATATCACAACTCTCTTTAGCTGACTACCTGACTGGTGGAAAATTATACGCATTCATAAAACAATTTAAATACATAACTCTATCGTTAAGTATGCACTTAATGTTTTTCTATCACACTAATGCAAAACTTCTGTTGTGCAGTAAAATCTAAAACAAACACACACACACACACACACACACACACACATACATATATATATATATATATTCCTTATTTTAAAGTTATTATCTTTTGTCTTTTTTAGATGCTGCTATCATCACTTGTCATGGTGCCAACTGTGAACCAGATTGGTGTCGTTTCTGCCAAGTAGACTGCAACACTCAAACTAAGACTTGCATTGGAGGCTGCAAAGCCGGCTATAATGGAACGAGATGCGATAAAGGTAAATAAATTGACCGAGCAGTCAAAGAAATAAAAACTTCAAATCAATCGGTCAGCTTTATTATCTTCTATGTGCTGTGACCCTTCAGGACGTGGGGGATCATGGCTCTTTACAACCTCCTACCTGATTGAGTTTTAGTAATAATTATATTTTCAGCATCCCTCCAACTCCCTGTTCTGCTCGTCATTCACATAAGCTCGTCGAATAGGTAGACCGCTGCTCCCTCCCACTATCCTTTTTGGCTTAGATATGTCCCGTATTTGTTTGTTTCGTTTGTTTTACCGCTTATCAACCCACTGGGTCATATAATGCCAAAATTTTATATTTTTTCCCTAAATAAAGCCTTGTATCTAAACAATCAAAACTTTTCCACTATTTACATTGTTCGGACTGTTGTCCTCATCTTTATTGTCATATTCACAACATTTCGACTGTTGTATATTCCAGTCTTCTTCAGGTGATATACTTTGGAATTATCAACCGAAACCTTTATTCCGTTCACTGGGGTCGATTGTTCTCGTTCCACAGGCCATGCCTTTTTCTGGATATTTCAGTTTCAGTTATTTTTCTTTAGTAACTCCTAAGCCAGCCAAGAATAGACACGAATGCAATAGAACATTCAGAGTGCTAGAGAAAAACAACAACGGGTTGTAATATGATCTCTGTTAAAAATATAGATTTATAAGTCCCCAAAGTTCATACACTGATGTCTCCAAGGGCATATGGCCCAGTGGAAAAAAATTGTTGGTTGAAATAATCCAGTGACTTGACTCAAAAAGTTGTGAACAAAAAATTGGACGGTTGACTTAATAAGGAGTAATAGCTGAAAATGAAATATCCAGAAAAAGGTGTTGAACTAGAACAACCTACCCCAGTGGACGAAATAAAGAGTTCGAAATTCTCACTCATATCACCTGAAGAAAGTCGGAGCGTATAACGGCCGAAACGTCATGAATATGACAATAAAGATGAGGACAATAGTCCGAAGAATGTAAATTGTGTAAATAGTTAATAATAATCTTAGAAATATAGACAGAAGACTGCTATTAGTAATGGTTATATTTTTAAAAATTATATTTATATATGAGATCATTTTAATTTCACTTAGAAACTGGAATATATTATGTGAATCAATATTTTGAAAAAGTTCTTTTAAGTTTCTTGTGTGGTAGTAATTTAAGCGGATTGAATTAAAATTGCTGCAGTTTGATGTCATGTGTTTTATGGTAAATGGTTCTTGGTATGCCACACATACCGGAAGATCTTCCTTTTTTTAGGATATACAATTGGGTTATGGTAGTACGTCCAATATGGATCCTGGACATAATTACTTCTTTTCTCGTTTGATTTTTCTGATGCCATTCACCTTTAGTTGGTTTAATTTTGCATATTATTATTTGGGCAGAAGTTCCATAGGTTCTGCCACTACTCCATAAAAATATTTTTTATTGATTGTTGATTCCAAGACTGTTTATGGAATTTTGGTACTTAAGGGGGTCTGAAGTGTTTATAGTAGACGCAATTTAAGTTAGCTTTGAAATATAACAAAGTATTTTGCTTATTGGACATATTTAATCTATTGGCATGAAGATAAAACTAAAATAAAAGCATCAAGAAAGATTTTTCATTTTTAAAAAACATATTAAATGTTAGGTATCATGAATCTGTGGAGGTACCCAGTTTATATAGGGTCATTTAAGGTTGAAATTTGTTTTTTCCTGAATAAAGCCTTACATCTTTTTTTAAATAGTAAGACTGCTATTAGTAACGGTTATATTTTTAAAAATTATATTTATATACGATATCATTTTAATTTCACTTAGAAAGTGGAATATATTAAGTGAATCAGTATTTTGAAAAAGTTCTTTTAAGTTTCTTGTTTGTTAGTATTTTAATCAAATTAAAATTGCTGCACTTTATCAGTATGTATTTTATGGTAAATGGTTCTTGGCAAGCCACACCTACCGGCGGAATATTACATGTGAGAATCAAATTTTCTAAACCTTCTTTCGTCGTCATTACATATCTCTCATTCTTAGGTGTCCTTTTTGTTTCCATTTTCTTTAAGATTTTTTCGTTCACGCCCCGTTTATGGTATTCTCAGCATCCTTCTGTGGAATCATATTTCTTTTGTCTCGAGTCCCTAATCGCAAATATTGCGATTTTAGTTGATACAGTGCTCGGAGAATAATTTGCACACAATGTGTTCTGCTGCAAAATGATTTTCACACAGTCATTGGAAAATCATTCAGAAATAGCTGAGAACAACTCTTTGTTAGTTAAAAATGGCATCTATACAAGTTTTCTCTGAATTTAGTTTTTCATATTCTCTTCAGTAACAACCTTCCGTTGTTCAATTGTGCGTCATTATCCAATTCTCAATTCAGTTCTTGTTAAGAAAGAAAATATTTCACAAAATGATGAGTTGAGAAAAATGGATATGCATTTCGCTATAGACACTGAGTATGTGTCTATATATGGAGGTAGTTTCTAAAGTAATATTTATAGTGAAATTTCTATGAAAAATATGTCATTTCTAAATTTGAATCGTTTTCCTTCATTTTAGTTACCCTTTTTCTATTTTAACAGGAAGTAACCAATGTCATCTTTTGTTCTTTTCAGAGTGCGATGCCTTCAAATACGGTCCCAATTGTATATCTGCATGCGGTCACTGTTATAATGACATTAGCTGTGATCGTTTCACTGGATTTTGCAAGAATGGCTGCGTCGTTGGATGGACAGGAGAACGATGCGACAAAGGTCAGAATAACTTACAATAACCTCCCTCACACAAATTGACATCATTTAAAATGTAAATATCTGAGTAACTACATGTCCAAGGCAAACGAAATTAAATAGACTTAACGTTGAACAATAAAAAGATTTATTTAAAAATTCGAGCAAGATATTCAGAAGAATGTAGATTTTATAAGCAATTTCACAAAGCTTCACAAATGTTCAATATGCGCACCACATGTGACACGATACACGTCAGGTCGGTAGTCCAGCTCCTGCCAAACACGCTGTAGCATGTCTTGCGTAACATACTCCAGCGCATCAGTGATTATCTGCTTAAGTTCCTCTAAGCTTGTAGTAAGAGAAGAGACATAGCCCCATAGGAAAAAAAAAATCATAAGGTGTCAAGTCAGGTGAACGTGGTTGGCCATTTCAACAGCACATTGCCATTATCACTGGCATGCCCGATCCATCTTCCTGGTAGATTCTCATTGAGATAAGTCCGCACAGTCAACTTAGTTTTTAGATTTTTTGTTAAAATTCGATATCATTAGAACGAGAATTGGCTGTGGTATTAGACTACAAAATGATGTCAATTTTTTTTTTTTTTTGGTGGGGGGACACTATATAAGAATAATGACAAAACGCCAACATCAGTAGATAAATCCTACTTATTATAAAACGCAGATTGTGTGTGTGTGTGTGTCTGTACGTTTATATATTGGATCGGATTTCCTATATTTTTCAACCGATTTCAACAAATCTTCACATGACTACGTAAAATTACCTTGCGGTGGTTCTGACAGCGCCCAAAATTGGAAAAAACACAATTGTTTTTGCACGAAATCAATTTGAAAACACGATTCTGTCGCTAGAATGAAAGGGAGACAATTATACTTATTATAAAACCCAGGTTGTTTGTTTGTGTGTGTGTGTGTGTGTTTATATATGGGATCGGATTTCCAACATTTTTCAACCGATTTCAACAAAACTTCACTTTTTTTTGGCAGGTAGTGTTTCTTATTGTCTTGCACACTTTTTTCTTTATTTTTACATTCAGAATGCTTTAAAAATTCCATTTACAAGACAATTGTTTATAATAAAATTCTATTCATTCGATAGACTCATAATGATTGAAAACAATGTTTTTGTTTGAGTTTGAGTTTGACCAATTCGTTAAAAAACCCCAAAAAACAAAAAACAAAAGATAAAAAACTAATTAAGACATGCGTGCCCGTCAACATTAAACAATAATCTTTGTCAATTTTATCTTTCAGTCTTTATGATGGTCGATACTTGATCTATCTCTTACTGTTACATCCCCGGGCAACGCCGGGCTCTACTGCTAGTAAATATATAAAAGACAAATTGTCAATATTCGTTTATATCGCGCCCTGTCTAGTCAAAATTAAGTCCTTTAGTTGTGAAACTGGAGTGACCTGGTCGATAGTATGGAGGCCCGCACTACCCAGACTATATTTACAGCCAACCGCCTTCGTTTCTCCACTCTAGTTTTTTTTGTTTTTTTGTCTGAATTTCCTTCCATAGCTTTTTCCGTGTTTGGGTATGACCACAAGTCAGCCGAGGTTTCAATTCTGTAAACAAATTTGCAAATTTAAGATATGTAAACAAATAAATACAAGAAAAAATATCAAGAGCTGTAAACAAATAAATAAATATATACAAGAAAAATAGCATATAAGTAAATAATTAAGTAAATAAATATTTACAAGACATGTCAAGATATAGTAATTGTTTTAATTTTTCAGCTTGTGAAAGTTACACGTATGGCCTGAAATGCAAATATAAATGTGGGAATTGTCATGCTGATCAACCCTGCCACGTTGCCACCGGAGAGTGCAGTGGTGGATGCCGGGAAGGATGGTATGGATCTAAATGCGATAAAGGTAATAGCATTTATCATTAATTTTTCTGTCTAGTATTTCTTCCGTTTCATTTCTCGTTTCTTCTTATTGCGACTTCTCAGACGACGGCTGTTATTAAAAGCAGGGATAAAGAAAAATAAAATAAAGCTCCGGTTACATACGAATTTTCATCCTCATTCCACGAAAAGCCTTCTTAGTGCGACAAGTACTTTACCTATTCAAGCCAGGGCGTTAAGATTTAACCATATAACTTTCATTACTTTCTTTTTCTTTTTCTCAAAGACTTTGTTCGTTGTGATCTTTAATGTTTGCATACAGTTGCAGTAGCAGGATTAGATAAAGAATATTATTGACTTTTCGATTAGGTATTTTTAACATTTAAATATCATGTGATTTTTATCGCAACTTCTAAAACTGTCATTTTAGAGCTGGTATTTTCAATACTTGTCATTCGCTGATGGCCGTAATTGAGCAGTTGCGATGAAAAGCAACTGAAATCAAAGTGCACGAAATACTGGTTGAAAAATTAGGAATATTTCATAAAGGAATTTATTTTTGTTTTCAACTTGTTGTTTTTCTGCCTTATATTTTCCTCCTAAGTGGTTCTCTTATATTTTTTGATTTTTTCTCCTCTTTCTTCTTGTCTTTTTCGTTCACTTTTCATCATCTTCTTCTTCATTAACAATTTCTTTATACTCATTCTCCTCTATTTCTTTTCTTTTCCATTTTAACTCTTCCCTCACCTCATTTCATCATCATCATCATCATCATCATCATCATCATCTTCTCCTTCTTACAATGCAGTTGCAAAATAACTAACCATTTATCGGTAAGCTAAAAATAATGTTTTGCAATTGTATTTATACAATATTAAAAACTTTTCGATGACTCTATAGCTCCACTTTTTACGAGGCGGTTTCTTTCATGTTTATATTGTTTTCTACAACTGCAAGGGATGGTGTAAATGCAGCTCTTGATCATGTTCTACTCTTTGTCTTGATTTGGCAGAGATTTCTCTATGAGATCAAGCTGCTTCTGAATATTGTCCTGATGTTGTATAGACCGGAAAGCTTCTGATTTTTTACAATAAGCCCTTGACGTAAGGCAGATAGACGGGCAATTTTCTGGTCCGCCTTCTGGACCCTTTCAGTTCCGCATGTTTTCGAATAGTATGATGATCACTATCATGTATCGGGCTTGTCACACATAATTTAATAAAAACCCTCTTTTGTAAGAATTGTAATTCTCGAATCAAAATCACAAGAATTATTTTGACTCATGTTTATAAGAATAAACATTTTTAATTTTTTAAAACATTCTCTGTTTATTTCTTTGTGGGATAGATTGCAAGAACTGCGAAAATGGCATTTGTAATGTAAATACAGGAATCTGTCCAAATGGCTGCCGACCTGGATGGTGGGGACCTTTCTGCCAGAAAAGTAAGTATGTTTATTTTTCGTCTGAATTTAGCTTCGCGGATTAAAATAGCGCTTAGTGAATTTGGTAGCAAAGTAATTGGTTCGTTTTATGGCAGATCAATATTTACGATGATTGTTATTGCAATATATTTTTTTTAAGTTGTTAACCTCAAATATTTAACGATGGCATAGAGAAATTTCCACGGGTATTTTATAGTCGATCATTGACTTAATAATTATGATTCATCAGAAAATCAAATCATGAAAATTTTACGACTATTTCTAGTGTAAACAAATCGGTTAAGTCCGCACGCTGAGTATCAAATCAAGCCTTCCGAAAACATTGCAGGAGTTTTCGTTGAGTGTACTGGACATTAATAAAACGAATTTATTTTTCAGAATGTATTCGGGGTAAATGCAGCAAGCCATTGTGTAATCATTCTCTCGGTGGCTGCAATGAGACGGTCAACAAAAGCAACAATGGCAGAAGCACAAGCAGCGTCCGCTCCGAATTGTTTTTTCCAAAGGGTACGGAAGTTGAACAACTGTGTCCCAGTGGTTGGCGTGGCAAAAACTGTAAAGACAGTGAGTTTTTTATATTTCAGTTTTATCATTTTATTCCTAAGCAATGGTTTTATCATAGGTAAGTGAAAATAAAACAAATCTATAGTGGCTTAACCCTGTACAGACTTGCAAATATTACGATATTATATTTTGATATTATATCGTATAAGTGGAATGCATGTATTTGCTAATCGGTGACCTTTCATCAGTGACCGATGGTTATACTACACAGAAAATACAAATTTATCTCTTTCTTATTTCCTCCCTCTCTCTTTCTCTCTATCTGATAGAAACACAGACACAATCGTATACATAGACATAGATATGTAATGTTAAAAAAATCAACCCTTCTTTATCTACTTGATTAAAAAGGAAAAGAATTCGAGTAAAAATCCAGTATATATATATATATATATATATACATACATATATATATATATATATGTATATATAATTCTCAGAGTTAACCTGTAGAAAAAGACAATATATATAAAGGTAAAAAACAGTAGGAAAACTGTATTATTAGCTGACGCGTTTCGTCCCATGTAGATTTTTTCTAGGAAAAAATGAAATGAATTTATTAAAAACAAAGTAACTATTAACAACAAAATGAACAAGAAATCAAAAGAAAATGGTTGAATCCGTCAACGCAACAATAAAAACAATATTTCCACACATGCCAGTACTTGACATAATTTTGATTTGACAATATGAATACAATAGCCTTTTTCTAAATTTTTCTAGTTGCGTAAGTCATTTTGTTTGTAGGCAATAGTTATTTATTGATTTGAGTTTGTGACTCTGGGTTTGATGTGAGTTTGTGACTCTGGGTTTCACACTATTTGCGATCGTCAGACACTGTCTGACGATCACAAATAGCGTGAAACCCAAAGTCAAAACCTCACATCAAACCAACTAAATATGTTACCTCTATCACTGATATTGAGCGCTTTTCAATGAGTACCGCGCATATATAATATATAAATAATAATAAAATTTTATATATATATATATATATATATATATATATATATATATATATATATATATAATATTCATATCTATATACATACATTTTATATATATATATATATATATATATATATATATATATATAAGAAAAATATACGAAAAATATACGGAAAAAACAAAAAAAATCTTAATATGCAATTATGCTGTATTAATGTTAATATAATGTCAACGTCGGACGTTTCGGTCTAATAGACCATCATCAGGACATATTCATAAAACATTAACATTAGACTATATTCAATTCAACATGAAAAAGACGATGGAGATAAGAGCAAGACTAATACAAAGATGTTGTGAAAACGTATTCAAAGATGATTTCAAAATATTAAATAAGCTCGATTGAACAATTTTCTCATATAAACAATTCGTCAAGAAATCCTTTCCGTTCTTACAGGAATATGCGGAGATCAATAGATTCTTATATTTTCGTACAAGCTTGAAGTCTTCCATGTTATAAAGTAAAGTCAGGTTTGTATTTCCTATAGACATATATGTATATATATATATATGCATGTGTGTAAATTATTTTCAGATAGAGTGTATCTGCAAAGGAACAAAATGAATAAAAAGACAAGAGGAAAAACTATTCTTAGCCGACGTGTTTTGTCCTCTGAGAGACTTTATCAAGGCAAAAGAAAGATTTATTTTGTTGCACGTGTTTATATACAAGAGCAAGGATGTCATTGGTTTATCAAGACTTAAATTTGAGAACGTTCATGAACATTGATTTTGATTTATGGCACTGTATTATGTCGTCCACATGTTTTGATCGACCACGTGATGAATATTCATGAACGTTCTCAAATTTAAAAAAAATAATCACACACACACGTATATATATATATATATATATATATATATATATATATATATATATATATATATATTTGTGTGTGTGTGTGTGTGTATGTGTGTGCGTTGATGTGTGGGTGGGGGCAATGGATAGCTTTTTTCTGTAAAAAGCAATATGAATAAAGACAAAATGGGGAAAGATCTTGAGAGTCTCGCTATGGAATCGAATCTTGTCAAAATGTATGTCTGCGCCATGGAATTTTGCAAATATTTCCTTTTTTAAAAGATATGCTCATTTTCCAAGACAACGTACATGACCATAAAAATATTTTTTAAAAAATCAAGAAAATGGGTAAATGAAGGCCTCATATTCAACATAAATAAATAAATACGTAAATTGATTCCTAAAGCTAAAATAAAATAATAATAAGTATTCAATAACAATAACGACATTTACTTACTTTCGCTTATTCGGCATTGAATTACATCACTTAGCATCCTCCATTGTTTACTTTCACAGTTCGCCTGAAGAATATTTATGAGCGTACTTAAGTTTAAAAAACTGAAAGCCCTACGATATTCTTACTTCTGTTATAAATACGAAAAAAAAATCCTTCCAATTGCCTTGAAAGATTTGCCTTGTCATTATATATATATATATATATATATTGAACAATAAAAAATGTTAAAAAATTAAAATTTTCAGACACACTCAGTTGTGTATTAATATTCCTTCGTTTTTTTATTATTTCATTTAGATTCGTCGACTAGTTTCGGCCAACATGGCCATCATCGGGAGAAAAATAATTTTCTGCTTGCTGGCAGCAGTGAGCTACAGAAATGAATGTCTTGATGGAGAAAATGAAGTTTTGTCTGTAGTTTTCATTAGTTTTTTTTTAACATGAATTTGGTCAAACAGTCTCTTTTAAGTTGTTATTTGAGATAAGAGCTGGATGGAATCATGCTGCTCTGAATTCCCTCGGTCATTTTGGCAGTTTTATTGGTTCCTGGAAAAGGGATGTGTCTCTGTTAAGTGTGTGTGTGTTATTTGGTTCTTAAGGAGTATGATATGTGTAAGCGTGTGTATTTGTGTGGGTGTGTGTGTATAAGTGTGAGGCCTCCGTATATATATATATATATATATATATATATATATATATATATATATATATTAAATAGTTTATATATGGTGTATACACATATGATGAATTTGATGATATTGTTCGTTTTTTTTTAAATGAATAACACATTTTAATGGCTATAAATTTTTGCATCACGCTGACGCGTGTTGAAATTCTCACAGTAATTAGGATTGTTGAAGTTATCGCTAAAATTTTTGTCGAGATTTACAGACTACATTTCATTCAATTTCGAAAACCAATCGATGAAATTTGAATATGCTGATTTATTTGGAAAAATACTCTCACAAAAACCCAACTTCACTGCTTAATAATTTTTTTAGTTTAATTTAATTTTAAGATAAGCAATCTTTTTTCATGGTAAACAATATTTTTAAGAAGATATATTTTTTTCCTTTTTCCTTTTTAACAGCGAACAGTTAAGATTTCTTACTCTTGAGTATGCAACATGCAAGTGGCCTTGCGTAAAAATTTCTTTCTGGGGCCATATTCCAACTTTTCAAAGCGTTTGACCTTGTGATTTGTTTATAGTTCTCGCAAACGCAAGGCGAACTGGAAAATATTTTCTTGTATATATATATATATATATATATATATATATATATATGTGTGTGTGTGTGTGTGTGTGTGTGTGTGTGCGCGTGTGTGTGTGTGTGTGTGAAAGCAAAAGGAAAGATATGCAAAAAACAATATTGCATTTTTATTAAATATGTATTTGTTTTGATCATTGAATTTTTTAAAAAATAGTGGGAATATTTTATCTGTTAAATAATAAATATTTTTAATTTTCCCCCCAAAATGAATAAAAATTAATTGTACTAAACTACGTACCTTATTAAAACCAGCTGTACGTTGTATCCCTTTACCTGTTTTCACGTCTCCCCAAAATTTGGTTTCGATCAGTTAATGTGTGGCTATTTTAGAGGGTGTGACGGATGGACGGATTATCAGAGATCACAGTATTTTATATATAGATAAAAACACATCGTTGTTGTTTAATAGCAGTAACGGAACATCTATTGATTTTCCTGTTAATTTTTATTTCAGGGTGCGAACCAGGAACATATGGCTACAACTGCAACAATACTTGTCAATATTGCAGGGGTCCCTCTAATTGTGACCATGTCACTGGTGACTGTAGGTTTGGCTGCCAAGCTGGATGGACAGGGCCTCAGTGCGACAAAGGTGAGTACTTTGCTGAAATTTAAGATTTTCTTTAGTTGAAAATTCGCTAGAAAACTAACTACTGGAAAGGATAAATTAATGCCCGGGTTATCCGTTTGCCAGCTTGTCTTCATTTTTATAAGCTATATAGACTTACTGTACGTTAAAAACCTTGTCGTTTATACGATAAAAACCGATTTATAGAGATAAGTACATATTGTATAACAATTTCAAGTCACTAATGCCCTTGGAAAAATCTAGGTCTATTTTCCTGTGATTAAAGGTTAAGAGTAAAGTAGGTTCTCTTGCCTTGCGTGGCAGCCAATCTAGGAGAATGAAAAGTCCGAATTATCCCCCACCCCATCAACACACGCGCGCACTAATTTGTTGGTATATTCAGGAAATGAAAAGGTTATGGTGTCGTTGTCGGCTTTATCTCGTTTCCAAGAATCTAATTTCTTCTTTGCTGATCGCTTCCTTTCTGATGATGGCGTTTATAACTAAATTCACCGCCAACGTGCAGGTTCAGAACTAGAAGCTTCCAGTTTCACCCAAACCTGCTGTTTGACTTTGAAAGATTTGGGTGGAGTTGAATGAAAAATCACAGTAGAAAAATTGTTGACGGCGTAAATTTGACCTCAACTTGCCAGGAATTGACCCACACACTTGATTTCATGACCTTCCTCTGCGGCACATATGGAATGAGACATGCAGTATCCAGTTATGAAACTGTCGCAGACTCTGTTATAATTTCGAGTGGCACCTTCTGTAGCATGTCTGTCATGCGTAGCACTCTTCATCCGCTGGTTCAACCGTTGAGATCTGTTGTAATCATTATCCACTTCTTCCAGCTTTGGTGTCTTTGGGGTTGGTCACACTTAGTCTGGGTCCCAGTCTTCGTCTTTGCGGCCAGGAATAGCTCTACAACGAGTTTAGAACTCATGAAGCATCGCTCACAGAGTCATTGAACAAGGCAAGCCTCTTTCACCACCACAAGGAGCGATCATCGGAAGATCAAAATGTAATTGATTGTTAAAAAATTCACTATCATTTACACTAATTTTTTGTCTTAGCAATTCACCCCTGAAGATGATCTTGGGTGAGATTGTGAATGTACTTGGGAAAAGAATAGAAATGAAAATAACTACAGATTCTTCTTGAATGAGTTTAATAACAACATTAAGAAATTGATGCCTGAATTTGAGAGGATTAAAATAAAACTAAATAGACATAATATGTCCAGATTGCTGGAATGCTGATACACTACACACACACACACTGAAATGAAGATATACCACACACCCCACACACACACACACACACACATATATATATATATATATATAGATATATATATATAATTCGAGTTCGAATTCCAGTCGAATCCATTACATTCACTTACGTGCTAATACCCTTGGAAAAGGTATTAATCCTCTTCTACCTTCAGGTATGGGTAAATAGCAGGACATACTGGTTTCTATAATCAAATCATATGTGCTGATGTCTGGCTGTCGGTTTCTAGGAACTGAACTTCTTGACTCTCATACGTCGAATACGACGAGAGAGAGTTCACCATATATATATATATATATATATATATATATATATATATGAAAATAGTGTGTGTGGGTGCTCAATGCAGATAGAGAAAAATATAAAAGTAAATTAAATTTAAAATATAAAATTATTTTTTCTTTTTGATATACCTAAACGAAGTAGATTTCATTGACCTTAGGATGAAAACTAACGATAAACCACTCTACATACACACATCTTTCCGCCTTCTATAATCAAACAGATACCAAAATCGATTAAGATTGCAAATTTTAAAAAAAGACTATGCCCTGGTCATTGTCACATACTCCCAGGATACAAAAAAGACCAACAAATTTAACGGCACCCATGCAGAACGTAAAAACAAACGTAGGAAAATATTCTTGTTTACCTGGTTACAAATACAACAAAAATACAGTTCAGCTACAGCTCAAGGACAAGCACAATAGGATTTCAACAAACCACACGAATTTCTTATACTGAGATCGAATGTCTATATATTACAAAACAACCGTACCCCCCGATAAAATCGTCGAAAAAAGTTAACAATGTCTGAAGGACCCTGGAAGCAAAAGAAATGGTACACAAAAGTATCGTTCACAAATAGATGGGTGACCGTTTGGGAACAAAAAATATCTAGGTGTTGTACAACAACCAATAAAAAACTTGGGTGGAAAAATAGCTATCAATGACCAAAATAATTAAATGGACTCATCTCAAAATCAGGCATGAAAATAAATTTTACTGAACTGAAAACGGCTACAATACTATTAAATAAATTAAAATAAATTAAGTACTGCTTAAACCGAAAACCGCAAATCCAGCAAACCAATCCCAAATTAAAAACTGTTCCGCCAAAAAAAAAAGTTAGAATGAATCCACCTGAACAAATAGCTTTTTAAATTCTCAAACCAAAAAAAACTTTTATCATATAAACAAAACCGTTAATTATGAAATAAAATAAAAAAAATAATAAATAAATAAAATAAAATAAAAAATAAATAAAAACAATATGCCCAAATAAATGAACAAATAACCGCCAAATAGAATACAATGCACCACTAACCGTATATATTTCGCCGAGAAAAATTAAATGGCCTGACCATATAGACTTAAGTGTTAAATATTCACCTGGCAGAAATATTCGTTTCTATTTTGGCAGAACTTACCGTGGACGATGTCTCATCGGCAAATGCAACAAGCCCGGCACATGCGAAAGTCTGTTTACCTGGTTACAAAGACCCACTTGTATAGGAAAAAGGATATTTATCTATTTCTTATACTGTCTCTATATATTAAAACACCTTATTTATTTTTTTCAGTACCTAGATGGGTGACCGTTTGGGAATACTAGGTGTTATAGCTCTCCTGGTTAATGAATAATGGGGTTTTAATCGTTGAACTGATTACTCATTGGATTTGTTTTAAATTAGCCTTTGGAAAAGTACGAATTGGTTTTAAAGACTTTTATCACTAAAACCATTACATTAAAATATTCATTACAGAATATTTAGATTTGGCATTAAATAACCCTGATAGACTTGCTAAATAATCACCTGGCTCTGTGGCAAGAACTTACCGTGGACGATTATCCATAAATACGTACATTTACATTTCTGATTATAAAAAAATGGATAAATGATAATTCTTTTATTTCTGTAAATTCCACATTCTGTTTTAAATTAAACTTTGCTTGGTTTTAAGAGACACATTTATTCATTGAATTTCTCTGATTATCCCATAAATGGTAATTTATCTGATTATCCCATAAATGGTAATTTATCTGATTATCTCATAAATGGTATTTTATCTGATTATCCCATGAATGGTAATTTATCTGATTATCCCATAAATGGTATTTTATCTGATTATCTCATAAATGGTAGTTTATCTGATTATCCCATAAATGGTATTTTTCTTATCATTGTCCAGTGATGGTGTTCCGGAATGCGAATAGCAGGATGTCCACCATTGTCCCAATATTGGGTGTTTCCGTTGGTGTTCTCATCACTGCTTTGTCCGTCATGATTATCTACTTCATTTGCCCTCGACCAAGATGTCCAACGGTCTCGAGTCCGTTCTGCCGACTAGACCAGGTTCAAACCGTAAGTCAGGTTTTCTTATTCTTTAATTTAAAAATTAAATATTGATTATCACATGTAATTATGAATAATATGTCTCTATGGTTTCGCCTTTGTAGACAATATTTTAAGGGAAATTTATTATTTGCTAGTTTTAACCCTTGAAAATTTCAAGATTTTCCTATATGAATTTTATGATGAATCTTAATTTTTAAGTTAATGATTGAGGAAGCTTATGACGAGTTCTACGACAATAAAATATCCGTAGATTTTCCCCTATCACATTTCTAAATATTTGAGCTTAACAACTTTAATAAACACTATTTACATTGCTCGAACTATCAACCTCATCTTTTTGTCATATTTATCACAACGTTTCGGCCGTTGTACGCTCCGGCCTTCTTCAGGTGGTTGGTATGTCGAACTGAACCCTTTATTTCGCTCTCTGGGGTAGACTGTTCCAGTTCCACGTGCCATGTCTAATGGATGTCAGTTATCAGTTATCTCCTGTTAATTCCCCTCTCCAAGTTCTCCACTGCCTTAACCAGGTATTGAACTCACACTCTTTAGGTCCTGTCACTGGATCTAACTAACGCCTTTAGCCACCTGGTTAAGGCAATGGAGAACTATTCAGCTACAAAGAGAACAGGTTAAAATCATTTTGTGTTTGCCTCACTATATCTTCCCAACTGAGCAATGGTGGGAGGAAAAAGATCATTCAGGCCCTCAGTAATGGTATGAACATCCATACTCTGGCTTCCATCTTTAAAGTCCATTCAAGAACCATCAAGAGAACAGGAAATAAATTTAAAAAAGAGGGAGCAATAGAGAGGAAAACTGAATCAGGGGGTCATAACAGCAAGAGGGATATTCATTTCAATTTAGAGCTAAATAAATTTTTACTATTCAAAGTAAAGTCCAATAGTGCTATGTTAAAAAAAAATGTGTAGAACAAACCACAGAGAAAAGGCACACAGTATGCTACAATGTCTTCAAACAGCCCTCCTCACTTTTGAATTCAAGAGTTCAGTTTGCCCTGGTATTTAACCCATAGGTACGGGACGGTGAAGTAGTTCGAAAACGTTCACAGACTTACATCAGACACATTTCGGAAAAGATCAAAACATCAGGACCGTTTTCAAAATTGGTTCTCTGATGAATCATGCTTCATTCAGATTAGAACATGACCAAGAATTGCGTTTATCTCATCACATGCAGTTGTGGCAGCGATTAGAAAGGCGAGACACACCGTCTGCTAACGGTATGGCTGGAAGAACATTGGGAAAACGATGAAATCAGTTATGGTTGATCATGTGCGCATGGAAACGTGGGGCGACGTGGTATCTGAACGTCGAAAATAGATAATTCTTCTACTTCTTTGTGATGTGTCTCCTTAGAACGTAAACGGTCATGGCTCTCAACAACTTCTTGTCTCTTGTAGCTCTTAATAAATTTTGTCTTTTCGATATTTCTTCTAAACCCTGTTCCATCATACATTTATCCACGTTCATCAAGTATATTATACGCTGTTTTCCTCTGTCCTGTGGGTATCAGATTTTCCAAGCCCTCCTTCCTCATTATGTGCCCCAGAAATTAGTATAAGTTTCCTTTTTGTTTCCATTTTCTCTAAAACCTTGTCGCTTTTCACATGTTCGGCCCATGGTATCCTCATCGTTATATTTAGGTGTAAATTAACATACATTAATTATTATTTCTTTTATTTTGAAAAAAAAAAGAAGCTTTATTTTATTATTTGATTTGTTTTGTCTTAAATTTAAAAAAAAGCTTTTTAAGGCCAGTAATGGCGGACGGATGAACACAACTGATTCCGAACTTTTATTGTCGATACAGAGTTATCGACAACGACAGATTTTATCAAATTTCTTTATTTTCGAATTTATCATGTAAATTTACACCTAAATATAACGATTCCAGAAATTTTTATTTTTATTGCTTTTTTTAAGCAATAAAAATAAAAATTTCTGGAATCAAATTATCCTTTTTTTTCTAACAGCCATGCAATCTGTCTTCTCGCAGTTAATATTTAATCCTCTTTTCTCGCTTTCCTTCACTACCTTCTGTAGGTTTTTTTTGTAGTTTCTGCTATCAATACTGTTTCATTTGCTTATATTAAGATTGTGGCCACCGATAATGAATTCTACTAGGATTTCTAATTCTCTCAGTATCGCCTTAATGTATAGGTTGAATAAGTCCAGTGAGAAGACACACCCTTGTCTTACACCTCTTTGTAAAATTTATAATAAAAATTGAAAAATCTTTAGGGTGAAGTCAAAAGAACTAAGATTAAGTGTTTTATTTTATTTTCTAGAAAGCGAATATACTCAAAATTTGTCCCTGTCGTCTTTCCGACACTGCAAAGCTAGTGGGTGTTACAAAAACTCGTCCCCGCGTAAGAGACTGTGTCTATCCATGCGTCAGGAATAAATTTTATCTTAGTGGCGTCTATATGAAGACTGTGTACCTGTATAAACCAGGCTTCGCTGATTAACCGTTAGTCATAACCAGATAAGAACAGAGCAAAAAAAACTTGGGAAGAGGAAGGAAAGTTAATCCAACAGCTTCGTTAATTTCTTATCTATGAAAGGCTATTAATTGATTTGGTATAATGCAACGTTAAAAATAATACTAGCAGTAACAGAATTGCTTTGCTTTGCTACACATTCTGCCTTTTCATTGATTATTTAGCCTCGAAATTTAGAAGAACGTGTCTACGAAAGAATGCAGCGTGGTCGCTACGAACTCAGTCGGTCTGACCTCATTTTGACCTCTGAACTTCTGGGCCATGGCCATTTCGGACAGGTCACCAAAGGATACGTTAAGAATATCCCCGTTGCAGTTAAATCCCTCAAAGGTAAGTTTTATTTTTTCCAATGAACATGCTAATAACTGAAGATGACGTTTTAAGATATTTAAGCGCATGTACGGACTTCCGGAGTTCGTTGCCCTCCAAACCTAAACTCTCCTATAATAGGAAAAAAAAAGGGAGTTGTTAATAAAGAAAGAGCAGAAGGAAACAGTAGAAACGATAAACTTCAGTGAATGCAGTCAAGCACGAAAAGCACAGTAGCATTCATTAACAAGTAGATCTATCAAATCTCCAAATTCTCCACTCAGGATTGTCCCGCGGGATGTTAGCTTAGTAAATAATGTAAATTTAAAAAAAAAATCTAGTTTGTAGGATATCGGAGAAGATTTCTTCAGCAAGATTTTGCTTATCGATACAAAAACATTCAGCTTTTTTGACATCTTTTATTCATTATATATATATATATATATATATATATATATATATATATATATATATATATATATTAAGGCATTAAAACAAGAAATTTTATATTGTAGGCCATGATAGATTTAAAACAAAACACACACCAGTCGACCGGTTTCGTCCCCTCTCATCAGAACTGTTAACGGGGAACTAAGATGATGAGGAAAAGAAAAAGAAAAAGACTGTCATGGATGTGAACTGGTTTTCCGTTTTGGCCAGTTCGCACTCATTATTCCATCTTAAGGTGTTGGAGACGCTTTACATCAGGTCCAGGCAACCTGCTCTTTGTAAACAAAGAGATTGTTTGCTTGGACTTGCTGTGCTGCGCTTTTATCATCTTGGTTGGTATAATTTTTTATATTTTTTTTCTCCCTGTCCACTCATTCATGTCATCCATGACAGACTTTCCTCATTTTTTTTTTCCTCATAATTTTTGTTTCCCGTTGGGCAATTAGTTAAATAAAACTTGGGCCAAAACGTGTAAAATAGATTTTCTGCAATATAATTTTGAGAAAAATTATCACGAAACCAATACTTTTTGGGGAAAATATTGCTTTAAATACATTTTAAAAAATGGCCTACAATTTTGGAAAAATATTACCAGAAATCTTTTTTAAAAAATATTACCAGCAATAAAATCTTTTCGGCATTAAATAACTCATTGAAGTTGATTTCAAACCAAACCAAATATATATATATATATATATATATATATATATATATATATATATATATATATATATATATAATTATTTTTATAACCAAAAACTATTATTTATAACAGATATAATTATTTTATAAAAAATTTATAACATAAGTATGTTATAAAAATAGCCATTTTGTTTTCAACACACTCTGTGTCTTATCAAGTGATGGTGTTGAAAATAAAATAAATGGTTTTAAAAGTTTCAGATTAATTAACGATCCTACACTAGGGGGAGCATTGTTACAAAAGCTAGAATAACCAATCAAAAAACGAAGTACAGAAAGATTCAAAAGCTTGACAACAAAATCCTGCTATTATAGCTATTTAGATCTTTAAATACGTGTAATATTAAAAATAATTTTTACTAACTAATAATTATAAATTTATATGATAAAATTTAATATTAAAATTAAAAACTGGCAATTTTAAAATCCAAATTTAATCACTATTAAGTTTAAAAACTACAAAATTATTGAGAAAAAAAAAAATATATATGTTTATTCAATTCATTTCTTCATTGAAATTACGTCTGACAAGACAAAAGCTACAATTCGTCCGGTCATCTGATAATACATGTATATATTTTTTCTTTTCCGTTTTTATTTTAAAGTTTGTGAATATGGTCTTAAACTCACGCGTGACACAACAAAAACACAATCAGATTATAATACATAAGCATCCAGACATAATTAGATACACACACACACACACACACACACACACACACACACACACACACACACACACACACACAAACACACAAAAAAACAAAAAAAAAAAAAAAAAAGAAGAGGTAGGGGGAATACATGAACAACTCCACAGCCCTTTACGAAAAAAGGAGACGTGGAAACTAACACTTATACACACACACAGTTAAATGTGAATACACTCTACATACACATAGACACCGATATATACACAAACATACATCCACAATGGCATAGACATTGAGAAATCACAACCAGTAAATATTTCAGACTTAAATAAATGCTAACCACTTATTGAATTATAACAAGGGAGCAAATATATAAAGATAAAAATGTTTAAAATAATATTATTTAATATATTAAAACGAAAACTCTAAAACAATAAATATCAATAAAAATATATATATATTATTAATCATATAAGTTGATAATAGTTTCATTATATATTTGGCAAAAAAAACAGGATAAAGAAATCCACAAAATATATATATATATATATATATACACGGCAGCAAAAACAAATTAACACACATAAAAAAAAAAAAATATATATATATATTCATACATACATATACGTACAGAAATACACACAAATAAATATATAAACATAAACATATACGTACATATACATATCTATGATAACAAGTACATATGTACGTACATACATATAAACCTAAATACACACACATATATACACATAGACTTTTATGCACACATACTTAGATATATAAAAACAGTCATGATATACCAAAGTTTCCATACCTACACATACACACAAACTCATACATAATAGGTTCCAACACACACACCTATATATATACATACACAAACATACATAAATATATATACACACATACATACATATCTACAAATAAAACATATATATATACATAAATATATCTACCTGCAATAACAACCACCCATATATACATGCATACATAAAAATACAACAACTTTCAACCAAATACATATATAAACGAACTAACATATAGATACATAAATATACCTTCAAACACCAACACACAGCAATATACATATAGTCTAACATACAAATATATAAACACATTCATACAAACAGAAATATACTTAAATATAAATACACATACACAATAAAATAGGACATACAGATATATATACACATATATATATATACACACATATATATATACACACATACATACACACATACACATACATATATATATACAAATATATCGTGGCACAAAGCTGAAATCAAGGGGCATCAGTGAGGAACGAACTCATTACTCAGTCGCACCCAATCTAGTGAACCATGCTGGCCAACCATTATACTGCCGTGATTTAATCATATACATACCTGTACATACTCATACACATACACATACACACACATACATACATACACACATATATATATATATGCATATATACATATATATATATATATCAACCATATACACACACACACACATATATATAAATATACATATATATATACAAACATATATATATATATATATATATATATATCTACATACATACATACATATACACACATACACACACAAATACATACATATATACACACACCCATACACACATACATATATAGGCACACACATACACATATACAGTAATAATTATTAACCTTTTCTCTCATAATCTACCTTACCTTCCCACATAATATATATATATATATACACACACACTCACATATATATACATACATACATACCCCACACATACACCCACACATGTAAAAAAAAAAAAAAAAAAAAACCATAAATACATTTATACACCAACCTACGCATTCCTCAGTGCAAATACTCTAACCAACACATAAATAAAATATATATATTTACACCAACACTGATAACACTATGCAGGTAAACAATACACACTTATATCGTAAGTATGACCATTATGCAATAAAATACTAATCTATTAAAAATACAGCGACGTATCATTATCATTTAAAGTATACGACCCCTACACTAAGTTAAATTTATAACGGTGTTTACAATTTACTGTCAGTTCATATCTTTGATTTAAGAGATCAGCCTTGTTTTTAAATCTAATAATTTCAAATTTTTCATTAAGGCATAGGTAACATGGGGTATATAGGGAGTTACAAGTACGAGCTTTCGTAACCAAACTCCATTTAATCGTAGGTGTTTTGTTCTTCTTTTTTTTTTTATGTGTGTTAATTTGTTTTTGCTGCCGTGTATATATATATATATGTATATATTTGTGGATTTCTTTATCCTGTTTTTCTTTGCCAAATATATAATGAAACTATTATCAACTTATATGATTAATAATATATATATATTTTTATTGATATTTATTGTTTTAGAGTTTTCGTTTTAATATATTAAATAATATTATTTTAAACATTTTTATCTTTATATATTTGCTCCCTTAAGTTATAATTCAATAAGTGGTTAGCATTTATTTAAGTCTGAAATATTTACTGGTTGTGATTTCTCAATGTCTATGCCATTGTGGATGTATGTTTGTGTATATATCGGTGTCTATGTGTATGTAGAGTGTATTCACATTTAACTGTGTGTGTGTATAAGTGTTAATTTCCACGTCTCCTTTTTCGTAAAGGGCTGTGGAGTTGTTCATGTATTCCCCCACCTCTTTTTTTTTTTTTTTTTTTTTTTTTTGTGTGTGTATTTTTGTGTGTGTGTGTGTGTGTGTGTGTGTGTGTGTGTGTGTGTGTATCTAATTATGTCTGGATGCTTATGTATTATAATCTGATTGTGTTTTTTATTTGTGTCACGCGTGAGTTTAAGACCATATTCACAAACTTTTAAAATAAAAACGGAAAAAAAAAATATATACATGTATTATCAGATGACCGGACGAATTGTAGCTTTTTGTCTTGTCAGACGTAATTTCAATGAAGAAATGAATTGAATAAACATATATATTTTTTTCTTTTCTCAATAATTTTGTAGTTTTAAACTTAATAGTGATTAAATTTGGATTTTTAAAAATTGCCAGTTTTTAATTTTAATATTAAATTTTATCATATAAATTTATAATTATTAGTTAGTAAAATTATTTTAATATTACACGTATTTAAAAGATCTAAATAGCTATAATAGCAGGATTTTGTTGTCAAGCTTTTTGAATCTTTCTGTACTTCGTTTTGATTGGTTATTCTAGCTTTTGTAACAATGCTCCCCCTAGTGTAGGATCGTTAATTAATCTGAAACTTTTAAAACCATTTATTTTCTTTTCAACACCATCACTTGATAAGACACAGAGTGTGTTGAAACAAAATAGCTATTTTTGTAGTGATTTTATAACATACTTATGTTATAAATTTTTTAAAAATAATTATATCTGCTCTACTTTTGTATTGAGCACTCTTTTAGAATAGTAATTGTTGGTTATTGAATTCATTCCGTGTATACCAATTATATACTTTTATATATATATATATATATATATATATATATATATATATATATATATATATATATTTAGTTTGGTTTGGTTTACGTCATATCAACTTCAATGAGTTATTTAATGCCGACAAGATTTTTTATTGCTGGTAATATTTTTTTAAAAAGTATTTCTGGTAATATTTTTCCAAAAATGTACTGTTGGTATTTTTTTTTAAAATGTATTTCTGGTAATATTTTCCCCCAAAAGTATTGCTCGTGATAATTTTTTCTTCAAAATTATATTGCTGGTGTTAAAATCTATTTTACACGTTTTGGCCCAAGTTTTGGGGTTAACTAATTGCCCATAGCTGGGACCCTAACAGGTGCTACAACCCCGGGTCAGAATGAACCTGGGAACACCAGTAATTAAGAGTTAGTTTCACGGTTCTCAAAACTTCCTGATCAGAGGTCTTGCTGTACTTATCGTCTTACCCAGGACGCGGATGTAGTTTATCGTTATATATATATATATATATATATATATATATATATATATATTGAAAGCGTAATTTTTCAGCCGTAACGACCATATTTCGTGGCTTACGCCGCCGCGCAAATAAACAATGTATTCCACCTTGAAAGAACGATTCATGGTTTTAAGAGATGCTTTCCATTATCTTGAAATTGATGGCATTGCTTCCTTTATCCTCTCTTTTTCTTTATTCTTTTTTCTCCCTCAACACCGTCCCTTCCGCTTTCTTTGTCTTTCTTTCTTTCTTTCTTTCTTTCACTTCTAACAGAGAAGTTGTGGAGCATGGAGTAAAAACGGTGAGAGCGTGAAGTTGTTTTCTTTTTTAAGAAGTGCCACGTGTAGAAGAACATCCCATCGGTATCATACAAGAATCGATGGTAGACTAAACAGTTATGCACATGTGACAACTGTAATCCTTGTAAAATATTCTTTCTTTCTCCCTTTTTTTTGTTTCTCTTTGCTTTCTCTCTATTTCCTTCTCCTTTCTTTCTTACTGTGTATTTCTTCTCAGTTTTCTTTTTCTCTCCCTTTTCTTCTCTTTTCCGTCGTTTGTTTGTTTCTTTCTTTTATCTTTCTTTCATTTTTTAAATCTATTTTTTGCTTTCTTTCTTCCTTTTCTATTTTTATGTCTTTCACTTTCCTTCCCTTCTTTCTTTTCATTTTATATCTATTTCTTTCAATCTCTTGCTTCATTTTTTCATTTATCATTTCGTTTTCTTTTTCTTCACCTCCAAATGTTTTCTCAACTATTTCTTTTTTTCGTTCTTTTTCCTTCTATTCCAACTAATCTCTTTTTCTTTCTTTCTCCTCATTTTTTCTTTCTTTAGTTTTTTATTTCTTGTATTATCATTTCCTTCCTTCCTTCCTTCCTTCCTTCCTTCCTTCCTTCCTTCCTTTAATTACTTACTTTATCTCTTCTGTGTATGTTTGTTTGTTTGTTTTCTTTCTTTCTTTGTGTATGAAAACTAAAATTATTCGTTTTAATGGAGTCCCATTCATTTCTTTTTTCACATAGAAAATGCATCTGAAAAAGATAAACAGGACTTCATGAACGAACTGAACATTTTAAAGAAAGTTGGCTATCACCGAAATGTCGTCTGCCTTGTAGGAGCATGCCACATTCATGGTAAGTCTATCAATATCACCTGATTTGTTAATTAATATAAATTTATCATCTTTGACTAATCGTATTCTATTTTTATCCGTGAATAAAGATATTTATTCAACATGATTCTATATCAAAATGGTAATTCTTGACATTACAGAATCATGATTTATATTATATCTCTTCTGTTTATGCTCGTTTGTTTCAATAATTTCACCCCAAGCAAGGCAATGAAGCCACTAGGACCAAAGAGGTTATCGAGTGTTAGCGAATATGAAAAAAAAAACAAACTACACTTAATGAGAAAGGACAATAAGAGAATAACAATTAAGAAGACAGAAGATAACGATTGACATTGCATTTAAATATTTGAAGATCGAAGTTGACTGGGAAGCAAGAAACCGGAAGAGCGTTCCACAAGCAGGAAGTCCAATAGAAGAAACCGTTAACATAGAACTTATGGTTACATCTAGCCATTTCAGCTGTAAATTGGTGAGACCTTGGTGTCAATCTAGTACTGAGGCTTAAATTCATAAAGTCTAGGTGCCATAGAGGAATGTTTATCAGGACAAATACAGTGAAAATATTTACAGTAAAGGCAAAAGGAAGTTACGTTACGGCGGTGAGAAAATGAACTAAAGTCGAGATGCCAGTTCAAGACCAATAACATTGCAGATACTTCTTTGGATTTTTATCCAGAATCTCTAAATGTATAGTAGGTAGACCAGATGTGGCAGATGTGGCAGAAATATTTAAGGCAAAGACGAATGGTAGACTTATAAATATGTAAGATATATTGTGTCGAGAAAAACTGTTTAACACGACATAGTGAAGAAAGCTTTTTATCTGGAGACTTAGCAATTGATTCAATCTACTCTTTCCACTTGTCAGCTGAAAACGTTAGTCCGAGGAAGCGCAATGGTTCACTCTCCTGGAGGTTAGTATCAGCCATACTGCTGGAAAGTAAAAAGAGTTCTTGCACACAAGTAAATGAGAGGAGATTCATTTTTGAGGCGTTAAAATTAACAAGTCACTCCTTGCCCCTACAGATTATAGGCCATTTTTTAAAATCAACTGTCAATTTGATTTTGTCGAACCGATCTGACTTACTATTAAGACAGCAGTAAATCGTTGTGTCATCTCAGGCATTAGATGCTGATGACAAGAACTGATGACGTCATGAAGGTCATTTATGTAAATTAGGAACAAAGTAGGCCCAAAGATAGACACCTGGGGAACACTGAAATTAATGTAAAAAAAGGTCTAGGAGAGTGGCCATTTAAGACAACTTTTATTTCGTGAGGGATGGCCATCATCATCTTTGTATATGTGTGTCTCTTCAGGACGTTGGATGTCATAGCTCTCCTCTCCATAACCTCTTGCCCTTTAAACCCCTCTTATTATTCTTCCCACTCCCTGTTCTGCCACCCCCTCTCACAAGCCCGTTAGGTAGTTTCATTTCCGTTCTCCTATTTCCTTTAATATGTCATGAAAGTGTCAAACCTTTCCAAGTTGCCTTTTCTTGTTATATATCTTAGCCGTTTCTATTGTCGCTTTCTGATTCTAAGTATCCTTTTTTGTTTCCATTCTCCTTAAGATTTCCACATTTCCCATATGATCCGCCCATCATCATCCTTCTTGTAGAAGCACATTACTGTTGCCTTAAGTCTTCTCTTTATCTGTGACGAAATTGTCCATCATTCACTGCCATATTCCCTATCTGTTTAGCATTATTTTCTTTCTTTCTAACGAAATTTTCTTTTTCCTTTATATTTTGTTTAGCTTTTAGAAACCATTTTTCGTTATTCCAATACGCCTTCAGATTTCGGTGTCACATTTTGCGTCGATTGTGAATATCACTGGCTAATTTTTTTTTTTTTTAGTTTTGAAATTAGATCTCACAATGTTTTCTATAATTTCCTTCCATTTCACGTTCACCGACTAACCAACTGCAAATAACTACGTGTACTGGTTTCTATTTGATAATTGGTTTGTACAGTATATGACATTTCCAATTCTGTACCGTTTCTTGCGGGTAAGAAAACTTAGTGTCATCAGAAAAGATCATTTAATAAGAAATTTTCTGTTTCTTTGTCCTAAGTCTTCTTACTCTACATGAGTAGAAAGAATGTCACAATGAAATAAAGCAAGAAAAAAAAAAGATGCAGGAATTTAGAGAAGAAGAAAGAGACAATATAGTTTCTGATCATTCAAATATTGGGAAAAGTCCTGAAAAGATTTGGAATTTCCAAAAGATTGTAAAAAAGTACACTATAACGAAAGACTTCAAGAACGTTGGCAAATGTCTTAGAGCTTTTTAAAATAGAAAATACATACAAATAAAGTGACATGGAGTTAATTAAGTAAAAACATTCAGATAAGAATAATGCAGTAACATAAGTCGTAGGGAGAAAGCACTCAGAGAGTACGTAATTCCGCCAAAAACTAAAAAAATGAAAAATCAGGTTATGAATCTCTTTCGTCATTATCTGCTGTAATCATTTACCGACACTGATAGTCTGCATATATTTTGTCTGATATAGAATTAAATGGAGTTCCTCCCTTGTTTTATTCAGGTATTCTTTACGTCGCTCTTGAGTATGCTATGTACGGTGATCTTCGGAGCTACTTACGGAGAAGTCGCAAAGAGAAAGGCAGTATTTACACAAACAGTGGATTACCAGTCATAAACCTGAATCAGTGCATGCTGCTCCAGTTGGCTCTTGACGTTGCTACTGGACTTGCGCATTTGGCAGACCGGCAGGTGAGTACCCCCACGCGATATACACACACATATATATATATATATATATATATATATATATATAATGAAATGGATTAAGTCCGACAATTATTTAATATATTTTCTGTTTATAGATTATTTTAATAGATACGATTTATATAAGTAAAGGCTCAATTTTTTTAAGTAAACAGTATTAATTACATTTAACGACATGAATGTTCGAGAAATTGCATGGAAAATATGCGTTCTCCGACAGGAACCGCACCTGTATCCGATACGGAACCGTCAATTGAGCTGACGTGCTATACCTCTCAGCTACAGATAAAGCGCCTGGTTGCAAAGTCCAATATATATATATATATATATATATATATATATATATATATATATATATATATATGCTTGTCTTAATCATCTTCAAGAAAGGAGAAAAGATCTAAAAGGTCAGCCAATCTAACAGTGATCTCATTTCACAATCCTCACAGTTGCTCCATATGTGGCCTCTTTTGTAAATCATTAGCGGGTCTTAAATGCCACTTAAGATTACCGCATAAACTTTCATAACTGAATCAATAAGCTGTCAGATCGTCATACGTCGAAACCGAAGGGAGGGTCCATTATTATAGTGATGTATTCTCTAAAGGAATCTCATTGGTCTTCGGACTGGTGTGTCTTATATCATTCAATTGTAACTATTTCAGCGCATGGCACTTGTATACTTGTGGCTAGAGGCGTTTAAAATATTTCCAGGTCAAGTCATCGATTTGTCTCATAATATTGGACAAGTTAAAGAGTAACCTCTCAGCTGTCAATCTGCCTCATACTGACTTCGAGCGAGTTGCCCTGGATAGATATAACTGGCGATATTTATTCCAAAGTTATATCAGAAATTTTGAAATCAGCCGTGTTGACCGGCTAAGAGACGAAAGACAACGGTGAAAAGCACCCGCAAATACTATGTCACGAAATCATCATATGTGGACTTGTATGCAAGTCACTGGCGGGACTGAAATTTCACATACGACACAAACATAAAAACTGAATGAGTTTGTCGGATCCTCATACGTCGAAAATCGATGGAAAGTCCATTATATAAAGTACTTGGAGAAGATCAAGTGTACTTCTATAGTTATTATACGCGAGGAATATAATTTGAGAACTATAGTTTGAAATTTATATGCTAACCGTGCATGTTGGAGAGGTTGTTGTATATTTGCCACTAGCGCCAGCAGTTGTGGTTCGAGCTCAGGTAAAAACGTTTTTGAATGATGAATTTCAAGGCAATAGATAATGGCTCGGAATTGTTAATCGGAGAACTAAGTTCCAATTCCCGTTATATTAACTTACGCGCAAATACCCTCGGGTAAGGTTTAGGTCAATCTCTTCTCCTCCCAGCTATGGGTTAATTAGTCGGACTTGTATCACTAAAACCATTATTATCTCCAAAAATAAAATTGCGTTCAAAATATTTATATTTCGGCCTTAGACAACCTATGGAAGTTGATATGCCGTTAAAAAAAATGAAGATGGCCAGAGGGTATTTGGCCGTGACTATAATAATCAAACTGAGGAACAATAGTTCGAATAAATTAAAGCATACTAACAATTCCTCATCTCAAAAAGGAAATGCAAAGTGACCTTAATGAAGATATTTTTCAAAGAAAATTATGCGCATGCGCGTGAGATTTTTGTTTAAATGAATAAATTATGTATATGAACTTTTTTTTTCTCAGATTATCCATCGAGATGTTGCAGCCCGAAATATTTTGTTAGGCGAAAATCTTGTTGCTAAAGTTGCCGACTTCGGATTGTCGAAGAACGATGATACTTATGTGAAAGTCTCTAATGTAAGTAATTTTGATAATTTGACTGATTTCAACTGTTGGATGAGCGATGAGCAACTGAACAGAAAATGGTGGGCGATTGTAAATTTTGGTGGGCGATATGCGATTTGGAGTATTAAAAAGATATTTCAACATATGCTACCCGAAAAAATATTAAAAAGCGATATGCAAAGAACCTGCATAAAAAAAAAAAAAACAAAAAAACCCCAAAAAATAAAACAGGGGAATGCTTGGCTCACATTCCTTGATAAGATATAAATATCCCCGTAAACAACGTATATTTTGGTATTTCCTATAGTTTTTAGAAGAGTCATTAACATTCAAATAGTTCCTCAGACGAAATAACATTCTTTTTCGGATATAAATCAGATAAGAGAAGACCAACAACAACAAAAATATTCACTGAATTTTTATTAATTGCTAGTGTATATATATTTTTAATTTTATAATTATGGACAAAAGTCGTTTGATTTATTGTCGACATTGCAATAACCATAAAATTAAATTATATATATAGTTTTCAGGTTTACTTTTCTTCTTTAATACGGTAGTATCATCAGCAGCTACTGCATAAGTCAACGTTATTTATTACCTCCCTTTGATATTTTTACTCCATCATAAAGTCAGTTTATGAACCAGTAATAAACTTTTAAGAAATAATTTTGGTATATTTTTGAATATTTACTATACAGTTGGGTGGTAGAAAAATTTTCCATGTGAAAGTGGGCGATAACGCAAAAAAGAAAGGTTAGAAATCCCTGAACTAGACTCTATGATTTAGCAGAAAAACACAAACTTAAGACCTATTATTCCTGGTAGGAACGAGTAAACTCCAAGAGACTGCTTCCTCGATTGCTACAGTTTTAACTTGTTTAAGTCTAATGTTAACCGTTATCTTCCCCACATATCCCCATAAACTGCGCCTCTACATCAAATTGGTGAGCATTATTGCAAAAAATAAACAAACAAAAAAATTTATTTAAAATTTCACAACACTATTACCCGAACCAGCGCGTTTATTAAATTTGTATATATAAAAAAACCGGTGGAACGTTTATTTAAACCGGCATATTTATTTTATAATTTTATAAATACCCACCGAGAATGACCCTTGTATTCTGTACAAAAGATTATATAATATACAATTCCCACATTTTCACAAAAGATTATATGATATACAATTTACTCATTTTCACAAAAGGTTACATGATATAAAATTTACTCATTTTCACATAAGATTAAATAATATAAAATTAACACATTTTCACAAAAGATTATATAATATACAATTTACTCATTTTCCCAAAAAGATTATGATATACAATTCCCTCATTTTCACAAAAGATCATGTAATATAGAATTTGTTATTTTCACATGAGATTATATAATATAGAATTTACACAATTTTACAAATGATTATCTAATCAATCATTTTCACAAAAGATTATATTACAATTATATTATAATTTTAAGATAATGTAATATAAAATTGACCCATTGTTTTTTCTTTTTTTCATTTTTTTTTTTTAATTCCTACGATTGTCACAGACCCGAGTTCCGGTCCGATGGATGGCGATTGAATCGCTTTTCAACAATGTCTACACTGTACAGAGTGACGTGTGAGTATTATTTATCCATCGCATCTTATATATATATCCATCGCATCTTTTATATATATATATATATATATATATATATATATATATATATACACACACACACACATATATATATATATATATATATATATATATATATATATATATATATATATATATATATATGATTCGATCAGCTAAGTTATTTAGTCTGAAGAAGTCTTTTTTTGAAAGCCGAAACTAAACTCGTCACATAATTTTTTTCATTGTATCATTCAATTACCTACCACTCTTTATGTTATAAATTTTAAATGCTTCATTTTTTTTTTTTTTTTCCAGTTGGTCATTTGGTGTTTTAATGTGGGAAATCGTGACCTTAGGTGGGACTCCATTTGCGGGCATCGACACACAGGACCTGGTTAACAGATTGAGGGAAGGCTTTCGAATGAAAAGACCAGCTCAGTGCGATGCCGCCTTGTAAGTTTTCACTCTTCTATTTTTTAAAGCAGGCTTTTTTATTACTTTACATGCATTACTTCCTGTATTTTTTTTTTTTTGTAATTCTAAAATTGGCAAGCGTTCATAATAAACTTGCAGACACAAGTATCAATCATCGGATTTCCAACGCGAGGACTTATTATTATACGTTAATCTGCGTAATATTCAATGGCACCTCCCCTGGTAAAAATACTTACTGAAGTTGATCCTTAACTTGATACAAGAGAAGATTTTGATAAAGGATTATCATTTAAAACGTCGCATGTCGATCTACTCGTAGCATGCCGATAATCGACGCTAAAAGTAGGATCGACGTGCCGATTTCAAATTCCAGTCGAGTGAGTTGCATTCGCTTTCGTACAAATTCCTTTAGGAGAAGTTTGAATCCATCTCCTCTACCCGCATTGTGCAGAGCAGACTGACCTCTCTAGCTTCGCCTGGTAGCCATTCTTGGAGGAGGAAAGCTCTGAATTCAGAACCACTTGGCCATGCCGCTGGCGACTCCACCCCGTAAAGAAATATTTGCTGCGGCAACACCAAACGCGGTGGGGCTGTGATCCTATTCTCCACAGGGGTGTAATGACACCGAGAAGGGTGCAAATGCGAGAAAAAATAGAAGCAAAACCAGCTGATTTCTTAAGGTCGGACTCAAAGAATAAAAGTAAGAGGTAGAAAATGTGAAGCGATAAAGGAAACATTAGCCTATCTGGGGTTAGGTCTAAGCAGTTGTGAAACACTGCTGGAGAGTGGAAAATTGAAAGGAGCGACAGTTATCAACTTCTCGGCTGGTCACGCAAGTCAAGTCACTATGGATTCCAATGTAACCTTGCCTATGACTGAGTAGAGCCGCAAGGTAGTGGAGGTAGAATATGTTTTCCCAGGCTGGCGGGTTCCATCTACCTTGAATAGATTTGTATAAATCAGCGAAAGAAAAAAAATCGTTAACGTAATTCTATTAATGATTGATTCCTAAAAAGCATTTCTTGGTACAATTTTATTTTTTTGCAATTCAGTTTTTTAATTAAAAAAAAAAAAACAAACAAAAAAAAAACAGTCAGTAGCTATGTTTCTTTTTAAATTAAAATGAAAGATTTGACATATTCCTTTTCTTATCGCCGTTTTCAATCGAAAGGCGAAGTTTTATTAAAACATAATTTACGGCGCCGGATTACCTGTGAAACATGTCGAGCTATTTTTATCAAAATGGTTTTATGTAGTTCGAATTCTGTCGGATTTCATTCAATTTTACACACACAAAAAACAAAAAACAAAAAACAAACAACAAAAAACAAAACAGAAAACAAACAATAACAACAACAAAGATTATACCTACCAAAACCCGGCAACTGGAGGATAACGCGTTTAAGGCGAGGAGATTCTGTAAATAAAGTGCTCAATGTTAAGAAATAGAACATTAATAGCGAATAAATAAACTCGCACAATATTTAAACGACCGGCTCTGGCTTGTGACAGTTCACATCTTATATATTTACTTTTCTGTCAGAAATGCCAAAAAGGGAATTACGTTGGGGTAACAGGCACGGAATTTCATCTTCGGTACAATAACCATAAAAAGCACATGAAAGACAATAACAACAATTGCCCTGTCACTGTGCACGTCAACCAATCGTATCATAGCATTAATGACATCAGATGCGTGCTTTTATCGTCTTAATTTAACAGCCGATTAGAAAGATGTAGATCAAATTTAAAATATATTTTCAAAATAAAAGCATACATTAAAGGATTAAACAGGGATTTGGGTTTACTCAGATAATATAGATTCCACAGGGGTGGGGGCTCTAACAAACTACAACAACATTCCTTGGAGGAATTAGTGCCAATTCTCGAGCATAAAAGACATTATTAAATAAAGAGTAATATAAATTAGGGTGGCCAAAAGGTTCGTTCGTTTTATCAAGCAAATTTTTCTACTTAATAGCCAAATGAAATTTTGGTCAACCCAATATATATATATATATATATATATATATATATATATATATATATATATATATATATATGTTCAATGTACTTTTTAATCTGTCATTATTTCCTATTCTCTCTCTCTCTTTATATATATATATATATATATATATATATATATTAATTTCGATTATAGATGCTGTTCAACTTATAATTACATGAATCATTCATACAAAAACAAATAGAGGTTAATGATTTAAATGGCGAGAATACATCTGCAAACAATTTCAATAAGTTACACACTAACCCCGAACCTGTATATGAATGATATGATCCCTGTTTATAAATTCCAGTTTCATAAGGTGTTTTTGAGTTTTTACAAGCTTTCGTCTGTTCCCGCAGACATCCTCAGGTATGGAAATAGATTTCTTCTTGTTGTTTACTTCTCGGTAATAAGAGGACAACGAAAATATAGATGTAATGCGAAAAAATTGAAATTATTTTGAAATTGAAATTGTTTTGCGAAGATGTATTCTCGCCATTTAAATCATTAACCTCTATATTTGTTTTTTGTATGAATGATTCATAATTATATATATATATATATATATATATATATATATATATTATAGTTATATATAAATTACCTTTATAATAAGGATTATTATTATTATTATTATTATTATTATTATTATTATTATTATTATTTTTCCAATTGTCATTTGATACCAATCTGTCTTGTCCACAGAATTCATCTGGGAATTTAACTATATTGTCGACATGGAAAAAAAAAAACAAATAATAATCCTATATATATATATATATATATATATATATATATATATATATATATATATATACTTTTTATATACATTGTATTTTTTGTTTTTACTAAGTGGATTCGCTCTTTTATTTTGCAGATATAGTATTATGCTTAAATGCTGGCACGTAGACCCGGCAAAACGACCCACCTTTCCGGTTTTATGCCGACAATTGCAACGTCTAATTGAAGACAGCCAGGTGAGCTCACATGTGTACATAGAAATCTACCATTGAAAGACAAAGAAAAAAAAATGACCATCTGCCTGCTCACCTGCCTGCCTCTTTACCTACCTACGTACCTGCCTGCCTGCCTTGTACATACCATGTACAGATGCACATGTCCAGCCCTTTTTACACATAGACCCAAACACGCTCAACCCAAAATAAATACATATTGATATTATTACCTAATTCATAAACAGATAGGAAAAAAAGTCATGGTTGTATATAATCAAAATTTAAAATAAAAAAGAGAAAGAGAAATAAAAACACGAATATATATATATATATATATATATATATATATATATATATATATTTCTAGTCAAACCTAGTGAACAGACAAACCTACCCAGGTTTCACCTAAGCGGATCGTCAGGGAAAGCTGGCTGGTTGTATTAGGCTCTTTTAGTTGTTGTTTACTCGTGTCGGTTTTTTTCTTTGGGCTTTGAACCTGTATCTGTGCAATTTTTGACAGACTTTCATGTTCTTGGCTCTTTCTTTTTAAAACCTTTTCCTTCGAGATTGATTTGATTATTAGCAAATCAAAATTCGAAGGTTTTTCAAGACGAGTATAGTTACCTATGTTTATATTTATATATATATATATATATATATATATATATATATATATATATATATATATATATATAAACAGGAACAAAAAAAAAAAATAGTGATTTTTGTTTTATTTACCTTTATTTACCACTGTTTCGCGACTTTTCAAAATGTGTGACTTTTATTAAATAACTTTCCCGAGATCTATAGTTCTTTACACATTTTTAAAAAAAGGATGCGTCAGTTTCCCGACAGTTCGAAATAATTTCATTTCTTTCATTTAATATATCATTCACGTTCTTAAATTCTATAATTTGTTCTTCTTCTCCATTCATAGATTGTAATTTCCTCTTCTGTTTTCCTTTATCTCTATTTGTAGAACAATATATAATAAATACAAATTCCATTAAAAAAAAAATAAATGAAAGTAACAATTAATCTCAGGAATGTTAATAAAAAATCACAAAAAAATCGCTAAGCGCGTAACATATGTATATGGGCAAATAAAACCAAAATGTCATTATACATATATATATAAACATATACACACACACACACACACACACACACACACACACACACACACACACACACACACATATATATATATATATATATATATATATATATATATATATATATATATATATATATAATAAAAAAAACACTAATATTCCATGGTCATAATTTATTCCATTGGAATCGTAAATACGATCAATTTATCAAGACCTACACAAATTCAAAAAGAAACGAAAAAAAAACAACTCCGGGAATAAAAATAAAATTTAGTGAGAGTGTAAGTATGAGTGTGGGACGAATGTTAGAGTAAATGAAAGCTATAGGGAGGGGTAACAGACGAGAGAAGAACAGGAAGGTGTGTAAAGATGAAGGGGGGTTAAAATTTAACAGAGAAGATTTAAAGGGGAGTCAAAGACGGTTTAAGTGAGAGAAATATGAATTTTGTCGGATGTCTAATACATTAAAGATATAACCGGAAAGGATACATTTAGTGGTGACATACACACACAATAGACGATCTAATGTTAAAGATCAGAAGATGAGTGAGTGAGAGGAAAAGAAAAAAAAAAGGGTGGGGAGAGAGAGAGATGGGGGACTAAAACCGAAGGGCATTTATAAAAGGGCCGCTGTGTAATCAAGAAAATTTGACAAAATTAATATCGACTACAGGTTACAAATCAAATATAAACATATAAAAAATCAATATAATGATTATCTAATCTAGCAAGGACCTATATTTCTATGTTCAAAAACACATGCGTATACACACATACACAATAAAATATTTATATTTACACGTACATACATACATATAGGCGTGTACACACATACCTATATATATATATATATATATATATATATATATATATATATATATATACATACATCCGTACAGATCCAATCCTACATATATATACATTTACACACTTATATACATACGGACATACACATACGTGCACATAAACATATATACATAAAACCTTACCTCTCCATACAATTACATATACCCATCTAAACAAATAAACAATGTATCCCTTTATCTATCCGTCTAACTATACATACATACATACATGCATACATACATACATACATACATATACACCAATATACAGATATATATGTATACATACATACCTAAATAGGTCTGACACACACACATATAAACACATCTACATACGTTACATCTACTTCATATATACATACATCCATATACGTATATATATATATATATATATATATATATATATATATATATATATATATATATATATATATATATATATATATATACATACATATATACACATATACACACATACACACACATGTACGCACATATACATATCTATATATAAATCAAAATGCAAAATTAAAAAAAATTTGTCTCAAAATCCCCCCCAAATAAATAAATAAATACACAGCGCATCATATGAACATACACAATGATATATATAGATAATCATAATAGTCATTCCATTAAAATGTCATGCCCGATGTTATTGAACCAAGATGGAACTGACATAAGTGACAACACGTTATAAAACGGTGTTTATGTTTTGAATCGTTTCTTATGTCTACATTTAGAAAATATCTCACTACGAAGATTTAGTAACTCATCTTGATACTTATCTTTAATAATAAACATTTTTCCGCCATGCACAGATCACACCGATCGCGGAAGTTATTAGGGGTTCTAGCTCTTGATAATTATCTCTATTCGAAAAGAGGGGTTAATCCCTTATCCACCAGATCCCAGTAGTGTTTGGATAAGGAAGTTTGATATATATATATATTACAGATCAAAAGTTTGAGGCGACCCTTGGTAACATTTTAAATTTAAATTGGCCCCCAAAGTAGTTTTTTACTCTTTAAATAATAGAAAATTATTATACATGGTTAAAAAAAAGTGAGACATTTTTTTTTTTATTAGAAATTTTATGAAAAAAGGAAAAAAAGCATTTTAAGATTAAATTTTGCTCTCTTCAAAATATCTTCTTTTAGCCTTGATTATTGCAGGACAAATTTTTGGCATCCGTTACAAAAGTTACTCGAAGTATAAGTTTAATAATTGATTCCATTCTTTTTCAATGATTCTAAGAGATTATTTTTCGTTTTTGGGCTGGAAAGGTTTTTTATATATATATATATATATATATATATATATATATATATATATATATATGCTGAACACATACACACATCTATGTATATACACACACAAAATATATATATATATATATATATATATATATATATATATATATATATATATATATATATATATATATATATATTTTTTACGCATTTCTTTCAGACATGTTTGTCAGAATAATATCGACAAGTTGTGCCAATCCAATTATTTATTAATTAAGTTTGACTCCTTAAATGATGTCACCTTGAGTGATTTGAAATCGTTTTCAGCAAATGTGGGAACGCCGGAATAGCAAAACAATTAGCTAAACATACACAAAACACAATCCTTGGAAACGAATGTAGCAACATCCGAAAGTACTCGGACAAAAATAATATAAAATATAAATATGAGATTTGGTAAATTTACTGATTGCATGAAACAATTAATTCGGAAATTTGAAAGAAGTTAATCAAAATTGGATGAAGACAGAACTTGTCGATATATATATATATATATATATATATATATATATATGTACTATATATTATGCGTTGAAATGTTAAATAACTAATTTAAATAGTGCAGGCACCATGTTGATGAATGTCACTTCTCCAACGTACCTCAAAATTCTTGATCCCATCTTTTAAAAATCTCATCTTCTGATGTGATAAACAGTACAAATTCTTTGATTACATTTCCTTATCTGCGTATGAAAAGCGCAAAATGCTTAAATAAATGATTATCAGTAGGAGAGATATCAGGTGAATATGTAGGATGAGGTAATATTTCATAATTTAGGCTATGCAGCTGTTGCACATTTGATTGAGAAGCGTGCAGCCGTGCGTTGTTGTGCAGCAAAATTGGATCATCTCTGTTCATAAGTCTAGGATGTTTCTTTTTCAATTTTTCTCGGATACACTTTTCCCAATACGAGGTTGTTGCTATTATTTGCTCTTGACGCAAGAAAGAATAATGAATAACCCCATTTGAAAGACCACCATACAGGAACTATTAACTTTTTAGGGTGCAATAGAGGCTTTGGATATTGTTTTGGTGTTCCACTTGCATCTAACCACTAGCCTACTCTTTTATTGTTGCCAAAGAGTTTATCCATTTCTCATCGCATGTAAAAAATAGTTCTTTTTTCCCAGTTTAACCTACTCTATACAGTAAGATTATTAGGGATATTGTTTCATTTTAATCATTCTCATTATGCTCATGAGTAACAATATATTGAAAGAAAGATTATCTGAAAAGAAAAACTGTGAATAAATCAAGATTTTTTTATATCCTAAGGAGGTACTTCTTTAGACGACCAGATCAACAACCAATCCAAAAAATGCGCCATTTGCTGACAACCTAATACATAGCAGACGTTATCAGACCAGATTTTGACAACAATATTCAATGCATGGACGAATGGTAGTCTTATAAATATGTAATATTTGGCACAAAAACACAGGAATGGGCAACCAATGCGGATCAAACTCACTCAACAATAGTAAAAAATCAATTAGACCAGCTCGCTAACCATAATACTAGGCGAAAAGCATCCAAATTAAGTATCAGTTGGGGATTTTGATGTGAGTCAAGAATAAGTCAAGATTTTTTTATATCCTAAGGAGGTTACTTCGTTTGACGAACGGATCCATAACCAAACAAAAAACTACGTCATTTCATGTGCTACCAACCTAATATATATATATATATATATATATATATATATATATATATATATATGTGTGTGTGTGTGTGTGTGCGTGTCTGTGTGTATCAGGGAATCATATGTATATGAAATATACAA